GTTGTGAAAAAGGCCAGCGGCAAGTCTGCCCCAGGTCCGAACGGTGTCCCGTACGTTCTTTACAAGCGTTGCCCGAAAATCCTAAAAATGCTTCACGTCTTGCTGCGACAAGCGTGGATCCGCAATCACATATGTCCAGAGTGGTCAAAGGCAAATGGGGTCTACATTCCCAAAGAGCAGGACTCGAAGAGTCTTTCCCAATTCAGGCCCATCTCGCTGTTGAATGTTGAGGGTAAGATATTCTTCTCAGTCATGGCTCGCCGGCTCACACAGTATCTGATGACTAACAAGTACATAGATACGAGTGTTCAGAAGGGTGGTATTCCAGGCGTTCCTGGGTGCCTTGAACACGCGACCATGATCTGGGAGGCTATCCAGAGAGCCAAGCATGAGAGAACCAATTTGCACGTTATATGGTTGGACTTAGCCAACGCCTACGGGGCAGTCCCCCATAGGCTACTGTGGCGAGCCCTTCGCATGTTTCACGTACCGACACAGATCAGTCAAATGGTCGAGCAATATTTCTCCAAGTTCGCTTTGCGCTTCTCTACCTCGACGTTTACCACGAGGTGGACTGAGTTGCAGATTGGGATAGCTATGGGGTGTACGATCTCACCTATACTGTTTGTAATGGCAATGCAGATCATGTTGGACGGGGCGGCCGGCTACGGACTGGGCCTTCAAATAGGGGATCACTGGTTGCCGCCACTGCGCGCATTTATGGATGACACGACTATTATAACGAGCAGCGAGGAGTCTGCCCGCACGATCCTGAAAAGATTGGACGCGGTGGTCCAATGGAGCGGTATGCAGTTCAAACCGCAGAAGTCGAGGAGTCTGTCAATCCATAAGGGCAAGGTGTCGGCGACCAGTTTTACGGTGGCAAGGAACAAGATCCCTACGGTTCTGGAGGAACCGGTGAAGAGTCTCGGTCGCGTTTACGATTCGAAGTTATCTGACAGAGCGGAAGTCCGGCGAATACATGAGTCACTGGCTACAGGCCTGCTCGCGATCGAGCGATGCAGGCTGATCGGAAAATTCAAGGTATGGTGTCTCCAATTCATGTTGATTCCAAAGCTCCTATGGCCACTGCTAGTCTACGAGGTGACGATGACTGCAGTTGAAACCATGGAGAAAAAAATCAACACAGCCTTAAGAAAGTGGATTGGAGCACCGCCTTGTCTGACCGACGTGGCTCTGTATTGTAAACAGGCTAAGCTGGTACTTCCGTTCAAGTCAATAACCGAAGAGTTTAAAGTCGGCAAAGTTAGGCTCGCCATGCTTCTGCGCGAGTCCTCAGACCCAAATGTCATCGCTGTCCAGCCCGCTCTAAAGACTGGCCAGAAGTGGAAGGTCCTCGATGCAATTGAATCTGCTCAGAACGCACTAAAATTGAAGGAGGTGATGGGTTACACACAAACCGACCGTCGAGGCCTAGGGCACGGGAAAGTCAATTGGTGGTCAAAGGCCTCAGCCAAAGAACGCCGAGACATGGTGATACAAACGGTGAGGGACAACGAAAACGAGGTTCGGGTTCAGAAAGCAGCCCAACAGTCGCAGCAGGGCCATTGGGTCAGCCTGGAGAGCGCATTGCCTAGAATACTCACATGGGGTGAGATCTGGCGGATGACCCCGCTGCGACTGAGCTTTATCGTTCGTTTGGCGTACGATGTATTACCGTCCGGTGTTAACATGGTTAAATGGTCTGCGACCAACGATCCGACTTGCCCGTTGTGCAAATCAAAGCAAACTCTTGAGCACGTCCTGTCCGCGTGCAGGAAAGCTCTAGGTCAAGGCCGATATACCTGGCGCCACAACAAGGTGCTAAAGGAGTTAGCAGCCGTTGTCGACCAGGCTAGAATGAGGGCTAATGCCAGAGCCAGTTCTAGTATCGTCCCCATTCGTTTCCTCAAGGCTGGGCAGGTTCCAAAAGGTAATGTCAACAAAAACGCATTCGCTCCATCTGTGCTAGACTCTGCGAGGGACTGGTTACTGGCGGTTGATCTGCCAGGACATGAACGGTATCCCGAGTTGATCCGTAAAACCGGCCTGCGACCGGACATCGTTCTCCATTCTGCGCAAAAGGCAACGGCAACTCATCCTGATTGAGTTGACGGTCCCGTTTGAGTCGCGGATGGAGGAGAATCATTTGTATAAGCTCGAGAAATACAGTGATTTAGCAGCCGGTTTGAGGAGAAACGAGGCTTACACAGTGCGGGTATTTGCCGTCGAAGTGGGAGCGAGAGGCCTCGTTTCCACTTCGCTCTACAATGTGGTTAAAGAGTTAGGATTGCGCGGTAATGAACGGAAACGGGCACTCAAAAAACTTGGTGAGGTGGCCGAAAGGGCATCCAGCTGGCTTTGGACGCAGCGCAACAACGTAGGGGACGGGCCTCGGTGAGCTGGTCCGGGTATCTAGTGGAAAAGAGTTTCTTATCCCTTTGAAAAGTCCATCGTGTACGAATTGTCTGCCAGTGTCTCTCTGCCAACTGCTAATAAAAGTCCAAGATGTGTCCGGTAAACCAAAGTAAGCTTGTCGCTCGGTCGTCCAGGCATGCGGACTGTTCTAATTACGCTGCCGTGGCGACTTCTTATCTCACAGTACCTCCTTCGAAACCACCAAGTCGTCTTGTCTCTGGCCGAAAGTATAACACCATCCGGTAATTCTGTGCGGCGGGGAAGCAGCCCTGAGCTTCATGAACTCAGGTGGGCCCACCTCCGAATACGTTTAGGAATCGTGGGCCGAAACGTGTGTCGAAAGAGGATAATTTCTACTGATGACTGTAGATCCCCGCTGTACTTGCTCCCTGTGAGTTTATTCTTAGTCACGGAAGTGGCATTATTGATTTAGTGGTCTTTAGGTTCGCGCCTTTCAGTCTTACGCTAGCTTGTGGGGTATGCATGCTGTCGGGGTAGGGGGCTGAGGGTGGCCTTCAGGGACGTTGTCGCCAAAACCAAAAATGCATTATTTTTATGTATCCAGAAACCATAAGTTGTGAACTCCTTGGCTCTGTATTATGGATATCGCAATCCTTTGGCCTTGATTCCATGATAGATAGCGTAAGTCTGGGAGAAATTGGGCTTTTCTGCCTACCCCCAGGCGTGGACCTGAACCACAAGGAGTTCGTCACCCGGTCGCCGCGCAAAGGGTTTTAACCAACTGCGCTAGCGAGTCGGGCAGACAGCGATATAACTAGGAGGACAATATCACATGATTGACAAACGATAGTGATAGAGTGTTTATAATCTGGAGGAAACAGAGAGAATTTCGGAGATCTACTTCAGCCAAGAAAGTCGCCGTGATGTACTGGCTAGACACTCGCCTTTCGTTCGGAGGGTCGTGGGTTCGGGTGCTGACGAAACCAGGGGTTCTTCAAAAAAGATCTTGGGTCCCAGGTCAACCCAGCCTTGAGTGGGTACCAGGTGTAGTCCTTGGAAGTAAAGGCGGGCGGCGTGATATTGACCACATCACCCACCAAATGCCGATTGATCTATAAAATACAGGTCTAGCCTTATATGCCCAATACGCCTGAAGGTGTGGACAAGTGTCCTTTCCTTTTGTCCCCACGTCAGCCAATCGTGTGTGTGGGTGGGTATGTGTGTGTGTGTGTGTGTGTGTGTGTGTGTGGGGTATGTGTGTGTATGTGTGTGTATGTGTGTGTGTATGTGTGTGTGTGGGGTATGTGTGTGTATGTGTGTGTATGTGTGTGTGTGTGGGTATGTGTGTATGTATGTGTGTGTGGGTATTTGTGTGTATGTGTGTGTATGTGTGTGTATGTGTGTGTATGTGTGTGTATGTGTGTGTATGTGTGTGTGTATGTGTGTGTGTATGTGTGTGTGTATGTATGTGTATGTGTGGGTATGTGTGTGTATGTGTGTGTATGTGTGTGTATGTATGTGTGTGTGTGTGTATGTGTGTGTGTGTATGTGTGTGTGTTTATGTATGTGTATGTGTGGGTATGTGTGTGTATGTGTGTGTATGTGTGTGTATGTGTGTGTGTGTATGTGTGTGTGTGTGTGTGGGTATGTGTGTGTATGTGGGTATGTGTGTGTGTGTGTGTGTGAAGACGACGCCTGACGTAGTGCCACATCTAACAATGACAACAATGAATACATGACAGTAAACTGATTCGGTGACAGGCAACTCTGCATGACTTAGTTGCCTGTAACTTGTTGAACAGATCGACTTCCTAGCTCACCGGTTCGACCTGTTGGTGTTCCGTACTCCACTGCAGCATCCATCTCAGTGTCTTCATGCTCAGCGTACCCAGTGGAAGCTAACTGGCATATTCTTGCTTTCACATAACACAACCCTTGACCCATTGGGGTCGTGGAAGTGTACCGATAGAAGCACTAGCACATAAAACCAGCCAACTTTCTGTCTTCCGCGTGATGCCTAAGTGTACGATAACGTAGTACTGTCCATTTCTTGATGTATGTTGTCATTCCAGGTTCTTCTTTGCCCTTGTCTTCTTCGACTAGCCCCCACAGCCGGTTTCTGCTTGGCTTGGCAGGCTTTGCGAATTAAAAAGCGTTACTTTCAACCTGCATCCGCAAAGGGGGAGCTTTAGGTTATAATTGTGACTAGGTTACATGCGTCATATAAAGTGGCTCAGCATTGCTCGCCCCCAAGAAGCACAGAAAAGGACACCTGTAGTGTAGATGCGAGGAGACAGAGCAAAAGACTGTCTCTGTCGGCGACAAAGTCGTCTACGGCGAGCCAGTGGGCGGCACGGTCGCCGACGCGAGTTTCTACATGCTTCTAGCCAATACTCCACGGCGGCTCCTTTTTTCACCCTGGCATGTCTTTTGCTCTTTTTTTTTTTTTAACCACGTCCAGTAGTTACATTTAACCTACTCTACTCCGGTGGTTACTTCAACCCATTCTTTTTCAACATGTTGTAGCGTTAACTCATTTTAACACAAACATTTGCTGCCTTTCTGGACAAATGGGTTAAACATCATCTACCCAATAGCAAAAAAGTGAAACGTGGACATACCTGTAAAAAGTCTGGAAAGTAACATCCGGGTGGCTCTCGCGTCGACTCGCCGAAAACGATGCACTCACACAAGCAGTAAAAGACCAAGTAGACGTACACGAGGCAGTGTATCTGCGGCACGTCTTTCCCCCTTGTGTATGTCCCACACGACAACATGGTACTTTTTCATACACAATAGTCTTCAGCTATTCCTACATTAGAAATGCTTTCTTTTTATCTGTCTCCATTTAGATTACTAAATCGATGCAGCCATTGACATTCTGTGCGTGTCTGCGTTGTTTTTGTCTTTCCTTGGAGAATCACAAAGACCTCTTGTTTTTCTCCTGAAGTTCTAGTTTTTTAATGAGTATCCAGTAAATTGTTCCTTTGTGTGACGAACGTTCCTGTGAAAGAAAACGAAACAATGTGACTTACTGCTCTTTATATGAAAAATTACCTTTACTACAAGAATTATACTACAACGGCAACAACAACAATAACTACAACTACGATAGAGTGAGAGCCTATGACTGACATCTATAAATTGCCACGGATAAGAAGCATCATTTCAAAATTGTTATCTTAAACTCGCTTTCAGGTGCTATGCCATAGGTTGTTTATGTTGTTTAGTCTCCGCGTTGCTAAGAAAGCTAGTCTTTTTCTGACTCCTTTTAAGCAGTCGCCATTGCTGTTCACTTCTGTCCAAACATTCACAATCTGTGAACATTTTGAATCTCTGTCCTCATGTCAACCCAGCTTAAAATATCATCATCATCATGTGCCATACAGGTAAGCGTAAGCTACCTTATTTCACTATCTCACACGATCACCAGAATGACGGATCAGTTCAACTTTTGTGTGTCGCTCCATCCAGATGTTTATCTCTTCGCCTTCCTCTCGCTCTCTTCCCATCAATCTTGTCAGTTTTTACCACGTTCTCGAGTCGATTCCTTTTCATAACATGTCCCAAGATATGGAATGTCCATATCTAATTGATCTAATAAGTGCATGACCTTCGTCTGTTTCAACGAGGACTGTTTCGTCGTTTCCCCATCCTTCCGTCATATTCTTTGAATTCTTTTTAGAAACCACAACTGTGCCGAGACCAAATGTATTTCGGCATGTTTGCTTATTGTCTGTCTGTCTATCTATCTATTTATCTATCTATCTATCTATCTATCTATCTATCTATCTATCTATCTATCTATCTATCTATCTATCTATCTATCTATCTATCTATCTATCTATCTATCTATCTATCTATCTATCTATCTATCTATCTATCTATCTATCTATCTATCTATCTATCTATCTATCTATCTATCTATCTATCTATCTATCTATCTATCTATCTATCTATCTATCTATCTATCTATCTATCTATCTATCTATCTATCTATCTATCTATCTATCTATCTATCTATCTATCTATCTATCTATCTATCTATCTATCTATCTATCTATCTATCTATCTATCTATCTATCTATCTATCTATCTATCTATCTATCTATCTATCTATCTATCTATCTATCTATCTATCTATCTATCTATCTATCTATCTATCTATCTATCTATCTATCTATCTATCTATCTATCTATCTATCTATCTATCTATCTATCTATCTATCTATCTATCTATCTATCTATCTATCTATCTATCTATCTATCTATCTATCTATCTATCTATCTATCTATCTATCTATCTATCTATCTATCTATCTATCTATCTATCTATCTATCTATCTATCTATCTATCTATCTATCTATCTATCTATCTATCTATCTATCTATCTATCTATCTATCTATCTATCTATCTATCTATCTATCTATCTATCTATCTATCTATCTATCTATCTATCTATCTATCTATCTATCTATCTATCTATCTATCTATCTATCTATCTATCTATCTATCTATCTATCTATCTATCTATCTATCTATCTATCTATCTATCTATCTATCTATCTATCTATCTATCTATCTATCTATCTATCTATCTATCTATCTATCTATCTATCTATCTATCTATCTATCTATCTATCTATCTATCTATCTATCTATCTATCTATCTATCTATCTATCTATCTATCTATCTATCTATCTATCTATCTATCTATCTATCTATCTATCTATCTATCTATCTATCTATCTATCTATCTATCTATCTATCTATCTATCTATCTATCTATCTATCTATCTATCTATCTATCTATCTATCTATCTATCTATCTATCTATCTATCTATCTATCTATCTATCTATCTATCTATCTATCTATCTATCTATCTATCTATCTATCTATCTATCTATCTATCTATCTATATATCTATCTATCTATCTATCTATCTATCTATCTGTCTGTCTGTCTGTCTGTCTGTCTGTCTGTCTGTCTGTCTGTCTGTCTGTCTGTCTGTCTGTCTGTCTGTCTGTCTGTCTGTCTGTCTGTCTGTCTGTCTGTCTGTCTGTCCGTCCGTCCGTCCGTCCGTCCGTCCGTCCGTCCGTCCGTCCGTCCGTCCGTCCGTCCGTCCGTCCGTCCGTCCGTCCGTCCGTCCGTCCGTCCGTCCGTCCGTCCGTCCGTCCGTCCGTCCGTCCGTCCGTCCGTCCGTCCGTCCGTCCGTCTGTCTGTCTGTCTGTCTGTCTGTCTGTCTGTCTGTCTGTCTGTCTGTCTGTCTGTCTGTCTGTCTGTCTGTCTGTCTGTCTGTCTGTCTGTCTGTCTGTCTGTCTGTCTGTCTGTCTGTCTGTCTGTCTGTCTGTCTGTCTGTCTGTCTGTCTGTCTGTCTGTCTGTCTGTCTGTCTGTCTGTCTGTCTGTCTGTCTGTCTGTCTGTCTGTCTGTCTGTCTGTCTGTCTGTCTGTCTGTCTGTCTGTCTGTCGGTCTGTCTGTCTGTCTGTCGGTCGTTCGATCTGTCTGTCTGTCTGGTTTTTTATAGTGCGCAGAAAATACCCATCCCATGGGAACAGCCTTTACCCATTTCCCAGTTCTGAGCCAGGGAACCATGTTTTACCCAGTCGCTGTAACCAATCATCAAGAAAATATTGGCAGCTATAGTAAGTTCCAGCAGTCGTCCCCGACTGTAAAGATCTGTAACTCATTAATAGTTCGGTGGGACTTAAAATTTGGCAAACAGTCAGCTAATAATCATGTTAATAAATGTCCATTGAAAAAAAAAATCTAAACAAACCTCTAGTTTTATTTGCGGTATATATTAATAAAAAAAATATATATCAGGCTAACCAGAGGAACCAAATCAGTAGAGGAGGAATAGGGAATTTTAAAAGTTAAGTCTCAGAAGCAAGAAGAGAAACATGCGGAATTGTTTAGAAGAAAAGCACAAGACCATTAATAACACCCTGATGGAACAGGAGGTGAAAACAGCAGTGAAGGAAAAGAAATGTAGATACTAGGCGTGGGCGAAAAGTAAAGATCAAGATTATCTTGAAAAATACAGAACGACAAGAACGATAACCAGAGATGTTCTCAGAAATACCAATGAAACATCATGGCAGAAATACAGAGACAGGTTGAACGCTGACCACACAGAAAAAAGTGCTGCGAAAAAGTGTTATAAGCAAATTAAACTTACGAGAGGTAGGAACGAACAATATAACCCAACAGAAATTATAAATGACAAAACGGGTGTCCCCTTAAACAGCCCACAAATGGTCCTATAGATGGCGTCAACAATTCAACGACCTTCTTAACTTACAATCAGAGGAACAATCCACATCACGAGAAAACAGCAGCTACATAAATGAAAATTTAGAACCAAGAATAACATTCGCAGAAATAGTTATAGAAGATGCACCTTCCGATAAAGCCCCAGACTCTGATGATATACTTTACTGAACTGCTCAAAGCAACAGATGAGTTAGGTGTAAAATGGATGCACAGACTGTTCATCCTAGTCTGGACAACACAAGAGACACTGGAGGACTTGAGAAATGCAATAATAGTACCCATCTGCAAAAAGAAAGGCAGCGAGTGAGACTGTGAGAAGTATAGAGGAGTTTCGTTATTGAGCAACACTGGAAAAATATTTTGTAAGATCCTTGAAAAAAGGCTACGTCCTATAATCGAACCACAACTTAGTGAAGAACAACTGGGATTTCGGAAAAACAGATGTTGTACTGGTGCAATATTCACACTTAGACAATTAGTGGAAAGGACGGTCGAATTCGATGAAGAATTACATGACGCATTTATAAATTTAGAGAAAGCTTTCAATCGAGTTAATAGGAATAAATTATGGAGAGTGCTACAGTATTACAGAGAAAATGAACATCTTTTTAAATTGTGAAAAAGATTATACAGGAATCAACAGCCAATCACGATGTGTTTGGGTCCGAGTTAGTGAGTTGTACCCAGGATCTGTTTGGCCGAAAACCTGCCTGTTCATCTCTTAGGGCTTATATTAACACAACTTAAGGCTTGGCCCCTTAAGGCCGTGAATATGTATCGATGGAAGCCACAGCACACAAAAACTATCCTCTTTCTCTGTCTTCCACTTGTCGAACATGTTTTTGAGGGTGACAATTTAGCTCTGTCCATTTACTGATGTCATCATTTCTTGAGGTAGTCTTTGCAATCGAATCATGTTTCACTACGTGCTCGAACCAAGCTAGCTTGCGATGTTTCACCACGTACCTGAACCAAGCTAGCTTGCGATGTTTCACCACGTACCTGAACCAAGCTAGCTTGCGATGTTTCACCACGTGCCTGAACCAAGCTAGCTTGCGATGTTTCACCACGTGCCTGAACCAAGCTAGCTTGCGATGTTTCACCACGTGCCTGAACCAAGCTAGCTTGCGATGTTTCACCACGTGCCTGAACCAAGCTAGCTTGCGATGTTTCACCACGTACCTGAACCAAGCTAGCTTGCGATGTTTCACCACGTGCCTGAACCAAGCTAGCTTGCGATGTTTCACCACGTGCCTGAACCAAGCTAGCTTGCGATGTTTCACCACGTGCCTGAACCAAGCTAGCTTGCGATGTTTCACCACGTGCCTGAACCAAGCTAGCTTGCGATGTTTCACCACGTGCCTGAACCAAGCTAGCTTGCGATGTTTCACCACGTGCCTGAACCAAGCTAGCTTGCGATGTTTCACCACTGTCAAAAGAGGTTCCAGTTGTCCTGCAAATTTGTTAGTTTTCTGTGTCTTTCATGTTTGTTAGTTTT